ACCCGGATGCACCAGACATCCCGACCCCGCGCTCTTACGCAGAGGCGATAGAGGGTCCCTACTCCTCTCAGTGGCAGGCAGCCATGGACGCCGAGATGGCTTCCTGGAAGTCCACAGGCACCTACGTCGACGAGGTTCCCCCACCTGGGGCGAACATCGTCAGTGGTATGTGGATCTTCAGGGTGAAGCGGCCGCCGGGTTCTCCGCCTGTCTTCAAGGCGCGTTACGTTGCACGTGGCTTCAGTCAGCGATAGGGAGTTGACTTCTTCCAGACCTTCTCCCCTACCCCGAAGATGACCACTCTTCGGGTACTGCTGCACGTTGCCGCCCAGCGTGACTACGAGCTCCACTCGTTTGACTGCACGACCCCAGGGGGAGGGGCTGCTGCACCAGGGGCGGCTGCTCCAGGGGCGGCTGCACCAGGGGCGGCTGCACCAGGGGCGGCTGCTCCAGGGGCGGCTGCACCAGGGGCGGCTGCTCCTACGCGTGGCCCCCCCCAAGGTCGCCCCTCCCGTCGCCTGTGGAGGCGACCTGACGGGGGGGGGGGGGGGGGGGGGAGGAGTACGGGGGCCGACGCGCGGCCTCCCAGGGCGCCAGAGCAGGCGGAAGAAGGGGCGACGCGCGCCCCCCCAGGCGCCCCCCCCCCCGCTCGCCACGCAAGGCGACGGGAAAAGGGGGGGGGGGGGCGGTGCACGGGCCCCTGGTGCGCCACGACCGGCATGAGGGCGGGGCCTGGGTCGGGGCAGGTCCGGGACAGGGCCGGGACGGGGCCGAGGAAGGGCCGGGGCGGGCCACGAAGGGGCCTAACGGGCCGCGAAGGGGCCGCGACAAGCCTAACGGGCCGCGACAGGGTCGGGGCAGGGCCGGGGTCGGGGCAGGTCCGGGACAGGGCCGGGACGGGGCCGAGGAAGGGCCGGGGCGGGCCGCGAAGGGGCCTCGGGCCGCGAACGGGGCCTGACGGGGCCTTACGGGGCCTGACGGGGCCGAACGGGGCCGCAAACAGGGCCTGACGGGGCCGCAAACGGGGCCTGACGGGGCCGCAAACAGGGCCTGACGGGGCCGCAAACGGGGCCTGACGGGGCCGCGAAGGGCCTCACTAGGGGCCGCGAAGGGGCCTTACGAGGGGGCCGCGAAAGGGGCCTTACGAGGGGGCCGCGAAGGGGCCTAACGAGGGGCCGCGAAGGGGCCTAACGAGGGGCCGCGAAGGGCCTTACGAGGGGGCCGCGAAGGGACCTAACGAGGGGCCGCGAAGTGCCTTACGAGGGGGCCGCGAAGGGGCCTAACGAGGGGCCGCGAAGGGCCTTACGAGGGGCCGCGAAGGGCCGTTAAGGGCAGGCGCGACGCGCGCCTAGGGTAGGAGAAATTTCAGTGGTGAACGTGGTGGGCCCTTGGAAGGATCGATATGCTCTATACCATGTGAGAAGGATTGACGAGAGAAATGAGTGAGAAAGGAAGGATTGCACTAGAAAGCATTGGGATACAAATAGCAAACCCTAACAGGGTTGTACTCACTACAGAGTACCCCACTGCAGACTAGAGAAACATAATATTCTGACAGCCCAGTCTACGGTCTCCGTCAGGCACCCCGTGAGTGGCACGACACACTCAGGACGACTCTTGCTGCTCTTGGCTTTGCTCCTTCCACTTCTGACCCTTCTCTGTTTTTACGCACTGACACTACTCTGCCGCCGTTCTACGTTCTCATGTACGTAGACGACCTCGTCTTTGCTACTGCTGACACTGAGGCACTCGCCCACGTGAAGTCCGAGCTGCAGAAGAGACACACGTGCACAGACCTGGGTGAGCTGACAAGCTATCTTGGCTTACGGATCACCCAGGACAGAGCACAGCGCACCATTACCTTGACTCAATCACACATGGTGCAGCAGGTCCTTCAGCGCTTCGGCTTCACGTACTCCTCGCCACAGTCCACTCCTCTGCCTACCGGTCACTCACTCTCAGCTCCACCTTCGGACGAGTCCGTAGAGCTGAGTGGCCCGTATCCAGAGCTTGTGGGCTGCCTCATGTACCTGATGACTTGCACACGACCTGACCTCGCATACCGTCTCAGCCTTCTGGCTCGCTACGTGGCTCCCGGCAGGCACCGAAAGGTGCACTGGGATGCTGCGAAGAGGGTGTTGCGATACTTGTGCAGTACATCGGGCATGGGGCTCGTGCTTGGAGGACGGGCTCGAGTTGTCCTCACTGGTCACGCTGACGCCTCCTGGGTTGACGACTTGGCTACGCAGCGGTCGTCACAGGGCTACACCTTCAGTCTTGGCTCCGGTTCTGTCTCTTGGCGGTCTACCCGTTCTTCTTCTGTTCTCAGCTCCAGTTGTGAGGCTGAGATCTACGCTGGGGCCATGGCTGCACAGGAGCTACGCTGGCTCACCTACCTGCTGACCGACTTGGGAGAGGCGCCTCGTTCTCCTCCAGTTCTGTACGTCGACAACAAGGCCATGCTGGCCTTGTGTCAGGAGCACAGACTGAAGCACAGAACGAAGCACATTGCTCTGCGCTACTTCCTTGCTCGAGAGTTGCAGCAGCGTGGCCAGCTTCGTCTTGCTTACGTGGCCTCTCAGGCCAACGCTGCTGATGTTTTCACCAAGGCACTTCAGCCTTGTGATCATCAGCGTTTCTGCACTGTTCTAGGCCTTGTACCTACTGTGCCTCACTTGCTGACTCCTTGACTCTGCTTGTACTGTACTCTATATACTTATACCTGCATGCTTACACTTGCTAGGTTGTGTTCACTGTATTGTTTGCTTTCCTTTAAATAACTCTGCATGTGAACTGGCCTTGTGGCCCTTTGCTTGTGCTCAGACTGCGTGGTGACTTTGTGATCCACCCTGAGCTTGCTTTGCCTTCTTGACTGGTCTTGTGACCCCTTGTTCTTCCCCACTTTGCCTATGGGGGTGTGTCAAACTTATATATGCTATAGTCTCTTTAGGCTGTAGTGGGGTAATCCTTAGAGGGTACAACACTTTTGTGTTTGCTATTTGTACCCACCTCCTTTCTAGTTCATTCATTCCTCTCACTATTCTCACAGTAGTTCTAGCTGTAGTGTAGTTATCCTAATTTCCTGCTTGGTGGTGTACCCCCTTTGCTCCCCTATTTGTACTTCACTCTCTATAGTGAAACCCCTTTTTCTTGCTCCAATTCTCTCGATAGTCATGCCTAGCCTAAACCCTAGGATGGCTCCTATTCTCACCCTCTAGATACTATTATGATATGGTTTCAGAGCTGGTTCCATCCTGGAACCTTCCTGTAATTTGAAGAGATATTGACCCACACGCGCGCGGCCTATTTTGCCCTGCGTCCTATCCCGTCGCGCCCGCAGCGCCTGCCCGTCCCGTCCCGTCGTGCCAGTGGCGCCTGCCCGTCCCGTCGCGTCGCGCCCGAAGCGCCCGCCCGTCCCGTCCCGTCGTGCATGTTGCGCCCGCCCGTCCCATCCCATCGCATCTGCTGCACCTGCTCGCCCCGTCCCGTGCGCTGCCCCTTCGCCCCGCCGCTGGTCGTGAACTCCAGCGCCAGCACCTTCTATAGTGGGGGGGGGGGGGGGGGGGGGAGATGAGTGGGTGGCGGGTTGTGAGAGGAGATGCAGTGAGGGGGTGGTGAGCGAGATGCTGTCAAGCCAGCAGCCGCCCCTCCTCTCTCTCACTGTCGAACGTGCAGCTGTGGAGGGGAGGGTAAGAGAGAGTGGCAGACGAAGCATTCACGCATATGCAACTGCCGCCCTCTGCTACCGTGGCACCTCCTGCTGCAGCCCTTGTCGCCACCTTCGTTTGTCTCGTCTCTCTGCTGCTGTTGAGCGGCAGGTGCTGCCGTTGAGCCCTGCGTTGCCGCCACCCTTTCTCGCCGCACGCACCTGCTCTCCAGGCTACCTGCGCCACATGCACCTACTGTTGTCTATTTCTCTCCTACCGCAGGGCTTACTGTAGCTGTATCTGCCACTACTGCACTGGTTGTCATTGCTCTTGCGTGCTGCTGCTTTGTTGTGCTTGGTGTACCCCTGCAGGTCGTGTCTTGCACTTGGCTATTCCTGCATGCAGTTAAGGGGGGATGTCAGAATTATATTGTTATAACAGCATGTAGTTCTAGCTGTAGTGTAGTTATCCTAATTTCCTGCTTGGTGGTGTACCCCCTTTCCTCCCCTATTTGTACTTCACTATCTATAGTGAAACTTTTATTTCTTGCTCCAATTCTCTCGATAGCTATGCCTAGCCTAAACCCTAGGATGGCTCCTATTCTCACCCTCTAGCTACTATCCTGACAGAGGGCTGGATGGACACTTTCGTAATACAATATTGTTATGACATATCACCTTGAAGAATAAACAAACAATGATACATCTGCAGATCAATGGTGATTTTGAAACAACAAAATAGATTTACAATATTCTATGGGACTACACTACTTTAAAGTGCTGAAAGGTTAAAAGTTGCGGAAGTAAAAAGTGAGTGTGCTGTAATTCATGTTCTGTTTATCCGTTTGAAATACCTGATGCACGTCCGCATGTAACGGGGAAATTCGAGACTTGCTGTTCTCGGCCCATGCTGCTTCCCACGTGGCCTTGTGTTGAACGCCTTTTGGACTCGAACCACTTGTTGGAGGAACCGATGGAGTACCAATGCGCGTACAGCATGAAGTCTGCTTTTCGTTGGGTCTTCCTTTCCATAGCTCGTCGCCATGCAATCCAGGCGCGCTTTCCAGATATTGAAGCACCCCGGCACAAGGGCTTTGACTGTGCCCATGACGTCTCTCGTTGCGCGGACTGGTGCTGCTCGAGTGTCCACTCCTGCAACTTCCGCTGCTTGTCGTACAAACACCTCCTGGTTTTGTTACCGTTCCTTGGCAAGTCCTTGGCCCTCGTTTGAAGGGAAGATCGCACGGCTTCCATTCGTTGAAGGTCTCTCGAGTTCCGGTTTCGGCGGCAGGGGGGTATTCTCTTACTGAGAGCAGCGAAGACCTGCCTGAGCGGAACTAGGAAGAGCAGCACGATGGCTAGCCTTACGCTTGGCGAGGTGGTGCCGAATCTTGAGTTCGACTCCACTGGGGGACGCATGAAGCTGCACGATTTCGTGGGCGACAGCTGGGTTGTGGTGTTCTCGCATCCGGGCGACTTCACTCCCGTTTGCACCACGGAGCTAGGCAAGATCGCCCTTCGGAGCGGGGAGTTTGAGCAGCGTGGAGTGAAGCTCATTGGTGAGTCCCGAAACGGTCTGCATATGCCTTATAACGAATCGCTGTGCAACATGGTTGCTGTCAGTACAAGGATTTTTGTTGTTGGGAACAGTGAGGAAGACACGTCTGCTGTGCCGGTTGTGTTGCAGGGCTCTCGTGCGATAGCGTGGACGACCATGTGGCTTGGATCAAGGACATTGAGGCATACACCCCGGGAGCCAAGGTCGCGTATCCAATCATTGCTGACCCATCGCGTGATCTGGTCCAGAAGCTTAACATGCTCGACCCCGACCTGAAAGATAGTAATGGTCGGCCGCTCACCTCACGTGCACTGCACATCATCGGCCCAGACAAGAAGGTAGGCTCATTATCTCGTATTTTGTGTCATGCGCTCCTTCTCCTGGGTTCATTTTTAAAGGTTTTGGGCTTCGTTCACACAATTTTCTACTGCCCAACCGCTTCTGGTGCAGCTGAAGCTGAGTTTCCTCTATCCTGGTTCTGTTGGCCGTAACTTTGACGAGGTGCTGCGAGCAATAGACGCCCTCCAGCTTGCTGCAGACCGCCAGATAGCCACGCCCTCGGACTGGAAGAAGGGTGACAAGGTGGTGGTTCCCCCCTCTCTCTCTGAGGATGAGGCAGCCAAAAAGTTCCCAGGGCATGAGACTGTTGAACTGCCTTCTGGCAAGAAGTACCTCCGTTTTACCGACCTAAAGTAGGCTGACTGCCTGCTGTGTACATAGGAATGAAGATCTCATAGGAATGAATATCTCATAGGAATAAATTGTTGGGCTGAGAAAATCCCTTAGGATCTTTGCAGGACTAAATTCAGGGTAGGACAATGTAATAGCGGAAGCGTTAAATAAAAGACTTTGTGAACCACCTTGCGCTAGTATGTGAGGGCAAAGTAGATTGATTAAAAACAAAGAGATACAAGTTTTTATAAGGATACAAGGAATATGAAGAGATACGGTTAATAACCGTTTTACTGTTGCTGTTGCGGTTCGATACAGTGTCGACTCGGGCAACTACTCAGTAGTGAGTCAGTTGTTTGTCCTTGCTGTCGCGCTGTATTTGTCAGGTCAAAGATCGCTGACCTTTGACTTCCGCGTAACCTCCAGCAGTTGTTCAGCTTCCGAGAGTTGACTCGATGATGCTTCGATATGTTTCGCTTCGTTTCTGACTTGGTGTTTCGACACGACAGAGGCGCTTAAATCAATTGTTTCCAACATAAATATCTCATTTACAAGCTTAGAATCCTGTTCATACCCTATCGTGTATGTGGAATATTTGTCAGAATGTACTTGTATACATTACTATAACTGCCTGTAGTGTAGACCTAGTGTAGCTCTATGTTCTTGTTTGGTGGTGCACTCTCATGCTTGCCTATTTGTACTGCTCGCTCTATAGTGAACAACCTCTTTTGGCTAATCTCTCGACCCCTTCCTCTCGTAACTCTCGTTCTACCCTCAACCCAAGTCCTAAGTCAACTTAGGTTTCTAACATGGTTTCAGAGCACTTAAGCTCCTAAGACCTGTTGTCCATGGGCCCACCGCTGTTACTTTCTCGCTCCTGCATGGCGCCTTCGCCCCCATTCGATCCCTGCTTCGTGCTGCCCGTCGCGCAGCTTCCGTCCGTCACGCTGCCCATGACGGCGAGCTGCGCGATGGCGCCAGATGCGGCCCCGTTTCGGCCCCCTCGTCGCAGCCCGTCCGTCCCTCGCTGCCCCGGCCCGTCCCGTCCCCGTCCAGCGATGCGCAGTGCGCACAGCCGCACGCACGCAACCGCGAACGCGCAGCTGCACACACGTCACCAGTCACGCGCGCGACTGCAGCGAATTGCGCAGCTGCAGCCGCACGCGCAGCAGCAACCTCTCGCGCGACTGCAGCGACACCTGCAGCTGCAGCCACACGCGCAACTGCAGCCGCCTGCTGCACCCTCGCCCGCCATTTTTCCCCTTTCTCACTGCTGCTCGTGCACCAGGGGGGGGGGGAGGGTGTTGGGGGGCGGGGGTGGTTGACGCCACTCTGCTGCTGCGCTACGCCGCCGCCAGCCTTCTCCCTCTCCCTGCTGCTGGTGCAGCCGTGAAAGGGGTGGGGGGAGGGTGTGGGGGTGGGGGGTGTGACACGCCAACAGCCGTCCCTCCACCTCTCCACTCCTACTGCAGTGGGGTGGGGGGGAGGGTGAGGGGGTGGCAGGGATAACCAGCATGCGCCAGCCCACCTCCTCTCTCTTCCTGTCGCCCCTCCTGGGGTGGGGGGGAGAGGGGGGGGGGGGAGGGTGAGGGGGTGGCGTTGGAGGAAGGGTGGGGGGAAGACGTGAGGTTCCAGGGGCGGTTGACAAGGGGGGTGAGGTTGACAAGGGGGGTGGCTGAAAGGGGGCGTGGAATTAGGGGTTTAGTAAGAGGGGCTCGCCGCGCTAGGCTCCCCCCCACCTCCTCTCCTCCCTCTCTCACCACCCCCCCTTGTAAACAGGGGGTTCGTAAGAGGGGCTCGCCGCGTGGCTCCCCCACCTCCTCTCCTCATCCCTCTCTCATCCCCCCCCTTCGTAAAACGGGGGTTCGTAAGAGGGGCTCGCCGCGTGGCTCCCCCACCTCCTCTCCTCATTCCTCTCCTCTCCCCTCTCTCTCTCTCGTCTCCTCCTCCTCGCATTCCTCTCTACCGTCTTCCGCTGCGCTTGGTGTACCCCTTCCGGGGGTGTTTCTGCACATGGTTCTTCACTGCAGGCAGTTAGGGGGTGTGTCAGAATGTACTTGTATACATTACTATAACTGCCTGTAGTGTAGACCTAGTGTAGCTCTATGTTCTTGTTTGGTGGTGCACTCTCATGCTTGCCTATTTGTACTGCTCGCTCTATAGTGAACAACCTCTTTTGGCTAATCTCTCGACCCCTTCCTCTCGTAACTCTCGTTCTACCCTCAACCCAAGTCCTAAGTCAACTTAGGTTTCTAACAATATTGGTATGTGAAAGTGAAGTGTACTCTTGCTCAAGTGTCAAGCTTTCTGACACAAGGCTATCCACAATTCCAAACATTCCACATTATCACAAGATCATCATGGGTGATAATGTTCAAATCCAAATTGTTTTTTAAAGTCAAGAAACCTGACACAAGCCAAAGACGCACCCTAAGAGTTTATAGGGCCAAAATATTGTTATATCTTTCTAGGTAGGCAGGTAAGAAGGATAGTGTGATGTGAAAAGTATTGGACGAAATATGTTAAATTTGTGGAGTGTACCTGCTTTTGCCCAGAAGCATGATGAGAGCATATAACCTTTTCCCCTCCAGCAGATTGTTGTGCGCGCCTTGTTTAGGGTTTTCGTTTCTGATCCTTACAATTCCATGATAACAACCACGTCGACAGCCAAGTCAGGCAGGTGGCCGCAAGGTTCCTCACGCCCAACGGTAATTTCCAGGCATGGTCGCGTAGCTGCGTATCGTTTCGCCTGCCTGCAGATCTGGTGACAGTGCAAGTAATTATCTTTCTGAAGCCCGCGATACTACCCGCCCCTAGCCTTCTAGTCTAGTCTCTTAGCGCCCCACCCACTGTTGTCCTGGGGCTCCCCCGCAGCTCCACCCTGTGGTTAGTCTCTCTTCCTTCCCAACGTACTCCCCGCTCTCAACGCCACCCACGTCTGGCCGCACTCTCCGCGCCTCGCGAGTCCGCCCTGACGCGCCTACCTCGCGGCCCTCTCCACAGCGACGCCGTCTACCTCGCACCAACCAGGTTCTCCATTTCAGATGCTTTTATTTTTTCTTTAGTCGATGTGTGGCCGTTCGGGCCATCAAGCTCACATGCCTGCACCCGCGTGCTGCCATCTGTTAGCGCATTGCCCGCAGCCCATCACCCCCTGCCTGAACGCGCATTTCTCTTCTGCTCACGAGCCCGCCGCTGTCGCATGCTTTCCCTGTCGGCCGTTTCGTGGAAGGAAATGTTTCCAGCCGTAACTTAGCTGCACCAAACTGTCCGCTTTCACCCGCTCCTAAAGTGCCGTCGCTGAGCATGTCAGGCTGTCCAGAGTAATCACAACCGCTGTACCGTCTGTGTCTCGCATGTCGCGCCTAAACTCACGCGCTCTAAGCTGCGAGGTTCCCGCTCGCACGGCCTGTCCAGTCGCGACTGGGGTTGCTCGTCGCCGTGCACCCCGCTCGCCGCTATCGCGCACTCACGCTACCCAAACACGCATTCAGAATGAAGAGTACAGAGTTGGGTCAGAATGTGCTTCGTGCGGCTGGTATCAATTGCGAAGATGCTCGTGTGGGAATGTCTCAAAGAGTCCAGCGTTACTGTGACCGCTCTGTCGCGCGCACCTGCGCCGTGTTTTCGCAACGCACTGCGCAACGGGCCCACGTTGCCGTCATTCGGCCTCCATTGATTGCGTTGTGCCCTTGCCGCTGGAGGCTAGCCCACATGCAGAATTCGCTCGTGCCACGTATCCGACTCTTTCTCGTTTCTCTTGACTATATAATGTCTGAACGATGGGCTTCATGCCCGTAGTATCATGCTCCTCGCTCCACTGTCGAGCCCTCGTGGCCGCGGCGCTAATGCACGTGGCGTTGTTCCCCGTGGGCTGGCAGGGCGGGCGGTGGTGCGCGGGCGTGCATGCGCGCATGGATGGCGGGGACGAGGCGGAGCAGCAGGCGGCCCTGGGCGTGTTGCAGCGCGCTGCGCCATGCGGCGAGGCGGCGGCGGGCAGGGTGGCGCGGCAGCTGACGGCGGCGGTGAACCAGTTCCGCGTGCGCAACGTGATGCGCCTGCACGCGCGGGGCGAGGACCTGCTGCTGTTCGGTCCGCGCATGGCGGCCGACATCTCCATGCTCGACCCCGCCACCCAGCACCTCGTCTCTGCCGGTACGCACGCTACCTCTCCGCCTCCCCGCCCCATGGTGCAGCTTCCTCCTTTTTCCGCTGACACGCACACCCCTGCACTCCTTGCTGTGGATTGCCTACAGTTCGCGTGAACCTCGTTGTCTCCTGCCACCTCCCTCGCGCGCGCCCATGTGCAGCGCGCGACCGCATCAGCGAGGCAGGGCGGCACCATTTTGAGGCGCCGGAGTGTGCAGGCAGCGGCGGCGAGGGCGAGTCGGACATGTGGGTGGTGGGCGCGCTCGTCTTCTTCCTGCTCTCGGGGAGGCCACCCTTCGCCGCCTCGTCCGAGGCTGGTGCTGCCACCGCACGTGGCGACGCAGCAGACAGTGCGGACGTGTGCTCGCCTCCATGCCCCCCCGTGTCCGCCGCTGCCCGCCACTTCCTCTCGCGCCTGCTCTGCCGCCTCCCCGCCCAGCGAGCCACTCCCAACGAAGCCCTCTGTACGTTGCGCTCCCCTGCTTCTGCTCTCTGCTCTCTCGCTCTGCTCTCTGTCTCTCTCTCTCTCTCTCTCTCTCTCTCTCTCTCTCTCTCTCTCTCTCTCTCTCTCTCACTCTCTCTCTCTGCTCTCTCGCTCTGCCCTCTGCTCGCTGCTCTTTCTCTCTGCTCGCTGCTCTCTTCTCCTTGTTCTTTGCTCTTTGCTTGTTTCCTGCTAGCGACTGATTGGTGTGTGCACCTCGTTGCGTGCACACCATGCCAAGCACTTCTCCATGCGCTGTCACCTATGTGTGGGGGCTTTGCCCGCCGCCATGTACTCACGTTGTGCTGTCCGTTTGCTCTCTCTCCCTCCCTCTCTCTCCCTCCGTCTCTTTCCGCCCCCCCCCCCCTCTCTCTCTCTCTCTCTCTCTCTCTCTCTCTCTCTCTCTCTCTCTCTCTCTCTCTCTCGCTCGTCATGTGCGTGTGCGTGAGAGGGCGTGCAGGCAACCCGTGGGTGGAGAGCATGTGTGCGCAAGCACTTGACGAGGACCACCCCGTGGCGCCAGGGGCACAGCAACGGGTGCCTGTGGGGGACACGCGCGGAGGCGCTTCGGCAGGGCGCGCACGTGGGGGTCGACGGGCACGGGTGTGCTTCAGGGAGGTGGAGGAGACGGAAAGGGGGGATGAGGGGGAGGAGGAGGAGCGGAGGGGAGGTGCTTCCAAGGCAGCGTATGTGGAGGGATGGCTGGCTGCTAGTGGGGTCAGCGGCGGGGACGATGTGGAGGGGGGTGAGGGGGGCCCGAGGAGTGGGAGCGATGGGGGCGCGCATGAGGGCGAGCACGACAGTAGGGGTGGGGGCGACGAGGCACATGCAGCACAGGGCTTTGGCTCACCTACTGCTCACTCAGAGGAGCGCAGGTGGCAGGGTGGGGGAGGGGGTGGTGGCACGGACACTACACAAGGAGGCGGCGATGCAGGGCGGGGAAGGGGCGGAGTGGGAGGGGGTGAAGCGGTGCGGGCAGCGGCGGGGGTGTCGTTTGTGCTGGACGAGTGTGACTTCTCCGCCATGCTGGACCGCGACCACGTCTCTGCCGTTGGCAACTTTGCCACCCTCCCTGCCCGCCTATCTAGGTCGCGCGCTGATGCCACTAATATAGCATCTGCCTCCTCCCCTCCGCTCCCCGGTCGCTCCATGCCGCCCCTGCCATCCCTGTCCTCGGATTCTCGTGCGCGCTCCAGTGCTCTCCCGCCCCGCCATTCGCCGGATTGCACGGGTGCAGGGGGCAGGAGGCAGCTGCTGCCGGCGGGCAGTCGCTCCATGCTGCATGACTCGTCGGGGCGCGCTGCAGGCAGCAGTGGGCGTGCGGGCAGCCCAGAGGTGTCGTCGGACTATGCAGCAGCGCTGGCCACGGCGTCAAACAGGGTGGAGCGCCAGCTGCTAAGCACACTGCGCGCGCCCCGAGGCAGCAGGAGCATGGTGCTGAGCGGCACGGCGCCGCCTCCAGCTGCGAGTGCGGTGGAGGGCAGCGGCGGCTGGCAGAGCGTGGACTTCTCAGAGCTGGTGGAGCCGGGGCCAGGTGGGGCGCGCAGCAGTGGGGGTGCGGGAGAGGCGGTGGACGTGGCGCAGCTGGTGCCGCTGGTGCAGGTGGGCGACCACACGGTGGACAACCTGCTGTGTGACTTCGACCACCTCAACGCCACCCCGCCTCGCCCCCACCCGAGCAGTGACGCGGAGCCGTGGCCTGACGGTGGCAGCAGCAGTGGGCGGCAGTGGAGCGCACCCAGCAGTGACAGTGGCGACCTGGACCTGTCTGCCATGGACCTCAATGGGCCCGTGGACGTGGGGGGCACAGGGGGGCCCAGTGGGGAGGGTCCGCTGGGTGCAGAGCAGAGCATGATCGTGGATGCACTGGGGCGGCGGCTGCTCAAGTCACCCATGGCCAGCCCCCACCCGCGCAGGAAACACGGGCGCTCCTCCCATGTCTTCTGCTGACACCCCACCCCGTATCCTTGTGCTGCCAGTGCTTGCCGTGCACTGATGAGGCAGCACCACCGCCCCCTGATGCACTGGACGTGCACTGTTTGTGAGCACGTGCCTCCCCTGCACTGCATCACCAATCGTATATGGAGCCGCCCTCCCAAGTTTTGATGAAAGCATATGCTAGCACACCTTGGCCAGTGTGCTGCCTGCCTTCCACGCAGACTCACCACTTATCGCCGTCCACCTCCGCTTCACTATTTATGTTCCGAGCCTGCCTCCCACTTGCCGCCGCCATCCAGCCGCTTCTTTTCCAGTGCCAAGCATCTGCCCATTTCCTCCCTGCTGGCTCTCAAAACTGCCCGCACTCCCCTCTGCCAGTGCTCGTCCCAGTTACCCTCTGGGCAATAGTTTGGTAGGCCCCTCCCAGGTGGGCCTTCATGTTGAATACCTATCATAGCATTTGCATGCGGTATACCGTACTGCCACCATCCTCCCCTCCCACCCCCCTTTTCTCTCCCTCGCACTCCAATTATTTTCACCTGGAAGTTGTCAAAGTGAATATTGGACATAAGGTGTAGATTTTATATTCATGCAGTGGAGGCGTCGTGGAGAAAAATGTTCAAATATCGAATTAATCCTGGATCCCGCCAGGGTTCATAAACCCGACCTCAACCCCACAAGCCCCCACGGTACTGCACGGTGAAAATGTTGCACCGCAAGTTTCAATGCGTTTTAGCGTGATGACACCTGAGTCCAGCACATTATGGGAACGGAATGACAATCTGAGTCCAGCATTAGTGAATGCAGGCAATGGAGTAGAGCTGAGCTGCGTGTTGAACCCGCTCTAATTCTTCCATCGAGTAGTCAAACCTGCCTCCACTCGTGCGGCTCTGATCGCGGGGTGAGGGAGACGTAGCGCGCGCGAGGCAAGGGCAGCACGAGCGGCAATGGCGAGCGGGTGGCGCGAGGGCATACAGTGGGAGGACCCGTCGTCCATGGCGAGTCGCGACGACTACATCGTGCACGACGGTGCGCCGCTCTCCTGCCGCACACGCACCGCCCTCACGCATCGCACACAAGGCGCACGCGGGCCTGTTGATGCACCCATTCGCGTGCCTGCGTGACACCGTTTTTGCTTGTTCCCACATGCCAGTTTGTCTTGCACATTCTCCCTTACTGCCGAGAATGCAAACCTTTCCTCTTGCTCAAAAGCCGTTGATGTGCGCTCGGAACGGTCTGTCCCATGCCTGTGGTGTCGCCATGGCCCCCTTGGCTGTGCGTGCAGGGCGGCGGTACGTGAAGCCCTACTTCTTCCAATTCGTTGCGCATGTGAGCCCCACCCCTCTTCGTGCCACCACTCTGCACCGCACTGCACTTCCACTGCCTCACCCGTCCACATGCATTTGCAACATCAGTTCTGCCTGCTACGCCGTGTGCCGTGTGCCGCCATGCCATGTGCCGCCATGCCGTGAGCAGGACAGCCGAGATCGTCTATCCGTCCACCCCCTTGCCCGCCTGTCCTGCGTCCCCCCATTGCCCGCTCTTCTCCCTCATTTCTATGCTCACCTCGCCTCGCTGCCTCACCTCCCGGTCCCTCCACCCTTTCTCGCGCGCCCCCCTGGCGGGGCGCAAGCAGGTGAAGCAGCGGTGGCACGGGCGCAGAATTTCAGAGCTGTTCGCGTCCGAGTTCAGGCAGAGGCCGCTGCAGTACTATGTGAGTTCAGGCAGAGGCCGCTGCAGTACTATGTGAGTTCAGGCAGAGGCCGCTGCAGTACTATGTGAGTTCAGGCAGAGGCCGCTGCAGTACTATGTGAGTTCAGGCAGAGGCCGCTGCAGTACTATGTGAGTTCAGGCAGAGGCCGCTGCAGTACTATGTGAGTTCAGGCAGAGGCCGCTGCAGTACTATGTGAGTTCAGGCAGAGGCCGCTGCAGTACTATGTGAGTTCAGGCAGATGATAGAATTGGAACTGAACTGATTGCTTGATAAGGAAGGCACTAGGCCTTAAGTACAAACAGGGTTGGGTTGAGCAAAGCTAGGGAAAAGATGGGATGGGAATCCTAGCAAATCTCCAATTGGTGAGTTGGCTGATTTGCAGGATTACGAGGGAATCCCAACCAGATAGGGTTGGGATTACAAATCTACACCCAACCTACAAAGTAACCTAACCGATATAGAATATAGTACAAAGTGTTGACTGACTATTTCTAACACACCCCCTAGGCTGACAACACTTCAGCCACATGGCAGCCCAACACCCATGGACGAGAGGAGGCGGTAGTGGTCTTGGCGAACAAGAGACTTGGTAAACAAGTCAGCAAGGTTGCAGTCGGAGGCAATGTGTTCAGCCTTCAGCTGCTCGCGCTGCACCAGCTCACGAAGAAAGTAGTGACGGACCTCAATGTGCTTGGTGCGGCTGCGGAAGACGGGGTCCTTTGTGAGATGAATGGTGCTCTCGTTGTCACACCAAAGCGTTGGGGCTGGTTGAGGATACCCAAGTTCTGCCAGCAAGAAGGAGAGCCAACGGGCCTCTTGGGCAGCCATGGTCTCGGCATACAGCTCTGCCTCACAGGTCGACAGTGAGACGGAAGACGACCGAGTGGAGCGCCAACTGACAACCCCACTGCCAAGGGTAAAGCAATATCCTTGGGAAGAGCGCCGATCACTCTGGTCATCAGCATAGGACGAGTCACTGTACCCCTCAAGGCGAACAGAGGAAGAGCCGCCAAGAGTGAGCACATAGTCCTGTGTGCCTTTGAGATAGCGGAGGACCCGCTTGGCGGCAGACCAGTGGTGGCTCGTGAAGCGACCAGGTGCAACGTAGCGAGACAGGACACTGACTGGATAGGCCAAATCTGGTCGAGTGCACGTCATCGCGTACATGAGGGAACCGACGAGCTCGGGGTAAGCCTCATCACAGGGCTCAGGTGAGGGAACAGAGGGTGCAGTGAGTTGGTGCTGCAGAGAGAGTGGGGTGGGCATTGAAGCTGCTTCCTGCATCTTAAACCTGGTCAGAACGTTGTTGATGTAGAACTTCTGCGAGAGGGTGATGGTGCGGGCCGTGCGATCACGTGTGATTTCCATGCCCAGATAGTTCGTCAGTTTCCCAAGATCCTTCATAGTCAGCTTCTCACCAAGTGCGGTTTTGACTGCTGCCAGCTCAGTCTGATCCTTGGTGACAAGGATCATGTCATCGACATAAACCAAGATGAAGAAGCGGGATGGTGTTGCTCGGATGAAGAGGCTGGGGTCAGAGGTGGATGGGTGAAAGTCGAGGGACCCTAAGGTGCTCTTGAGCTTGTTGTGCCATTCCCGGGGTGCTTGCTTGAGGCCATAGACTGGTCGATTCAGCTTCCATACAGTGCCTGGTGGAAAAGGAGCTGGAAATCCTTCGGGCCGCTCCATGTAGATTTCCTCTCGAAGGATCCCTTGCAGAAACGCAGAGGACACATCCATGCAGTCAACCTCCATGTCATCTCGAGCGGCAACATCGAGAAGGGTGCGCAGTGTGGGAGGTTTGGCGGTGGGAGAGAATGTCTCAAAGAAGTCTAGTCCATGCTTTTGGATAAATCCCTTGGCACAGTACCAGGCTTTGAAGACGGGAAATTCGCCTGGAAGTTGTTTCACCCGGAAAACCCATTTTCCCTTCACAATGTTGACGCCGGAGGGAGGAGAGACATCTGTGAAAGTTCCTGTGTGAATGAAGGCCTCACACTCTGCGACAATGGCCCCTAGCCATTGAGCGGCGTGAGGACCAGAAACTTCTTCAGCATAGGTGAGAGGTGTGGGGATGGAGGGGTTGTCCGAGAAGTCGAGGGTGGGAGATTCTGCGATATCTGGAAAGAGGGAGCAGAGTGCGTGTATGGCTGAGTCAATCTCAATCAACTCCTCATGTCTGTCCTCAAGAAGGGAGGGCATGAGCGAATAATCACCCTCGACAGGAGGAGGATTGAGAGAGACACGAATGGAAAGGGAAAGAGGCTTGGGAGCTTTGCGCGAGCGGGTGCGACCAGCGATGGGGGAGGGAGGCGGAGCTGGAGGGGGAGAAGCAGCAGGTGTAGTGGCAGCATCAGGAACAGCAGCTGGATCAGGAGCAGGAGCTGGATCAGGAGGAGGAGCTGGATCAGGAGGAGGAGCAGCAGCAGGAGGACGGCGTTGGTAGGTTTTGAGAGGAATGGGCTCGGGGGTGGGAAGGAGCGGGGGAGACTGCGTGGTGCTGGAAGGGGAAGCGGGTGACGGGGGGTCGGAAACTGTGGAGGGAGCAGGAAGAGGAGGAGATGGAGTGGTGGCAGGAGGAAGGCTGTCAAAGTCAGCCCAAGTAAGAGAAGGAGGTGGAGGAGAAGGAGAATCTGTGGAGGAGGGGTAGAACGGATGGGATTCATCGAAGAAAACATCTCGGCTGCGATAAAGTTTGTTGGTGGTAGGATGGAGGAAGAGGTAGTCTGGCGAGTCCGAGTTGTGCCCGAGGTACACGCACGTGATTGTTTTCGGAGCAAGCTTGTCGCCAGCTGCACGACGGGCTTGGGAGTTGAGGAGAACATAGGAAGTGCACCCCCATACACGAAGAGGGCAGACGGACGGCTTTTGACCCGTCCACAGCTCTGCGGGGGTGGTGTGGGTGTGGTGAGGATGAGGATGGAGATTGTGGAGGGCGGCAGCATGGAGCATGGCGTATCCCCAAAGAGAGGGAGGGGCGGAAGCATGAGTGAGGAGGCAGCGAGCAATCTGCACCAGGATGCGGTTTCGGCTCTCAGCAACACCATTCTGTTGAGGGCTGTCTGGGAGGGTGAAGGTCTGACGAATACCCTCAGTAGAGCAGAAAGCTTTGAGAGTGTTGTTGCGGAATTCACCGCCACCGTCAGAGTGAAGAATCTTGATTTTGGTTTTGAAGTGTGAATGAGCCTGCCTTGCCCATTCCATGATAATGGCTGGGGCTTCAGACTTGGCGGTGAGAAGGTGAACGGACACATAGCGGGAATAGTCATCAACGATGACAAGGAAGTAGAAGTGTCCACCACGGGAACGAACAGGAGCTGGACCCCAAAGGTCCATGTGTACGCGATCAAGAGGTGCGGTAGAGGTGGACTCAGTGGGAGGATGGGGCTGTTCCCGAAGCTTGCTCTGTGCACAGTCAAGGCAAGGTGGTCCAGAAAGAGAGGGGGGTTGTGGAAGTGAGGCGGGCAGCCCATGAAGGAGTTGTTTGGTGGCAAGGTCTGAAAGTGCGCGGAAGTTGATGTGGCCGAGGCGGTTATGAAATAGCATAGTCTTGTCATTGAGGAGGCGGCAGTGACATGAGGGGGAGTCTGAGGATGGAAGCGGAAGGTTGGTGAGGGAGCATGTTTGAACGGGAGGTACAACTAGTGTGTACAGGTTGTTGGAGTTGAGGGTGAAGCGGGAAGATGGAGTCCGGTTTTGGCGTCAAACATGTCACAGTAGTCAACATCATTGGGAAAGATGGTGATCACGCCTACGTGTTGGATTTCCCGCTGTGCAAGAAGGTTGTAGCGGAGGGTAGGGGCACAGATGCCAGTGACTGTGCCGGATGGGAAAGCTGGACAGGAAACTGTGGAGGACCCATGGCATTGGATGGAGAAACTAGAATCGGCTCCAAGGAGTGAGGTGGGAGCCTGGTAGGGAACGAAGGCAGTTTGGTCTTTAAGCACTGTGTGGGTGGCACCACTGTCTAGTATGAACTCAATTCCCTGTGTGGTTGAAACACCGATGTACTGTGACCCCTTCTCATTAAGAAGACCAGCACCAGAGAACAACAGGTTAAGGCGAACATCAGATGGGGCACTAGCAAATGCCTGAGCAGGTTCCTCCACTGCCTCGACCTGGTTCACGCGACGGGGTGGTGCCCAGTTGGGAGGGCGCTTGTCCTTGGAGACACCGTGGACGTCATACCACTCGTCATCTCGCTTCTTGAAGCAAGTTGCCTCAGGGTGGTTGGTGCCGTTGCATTTCTGCCCCGCACGTGGACCCTTCCTAATGAGGTACTGGCATGGGGGAAAGGAGTTGCGCCTCTGGCCCTGCTGGGAACGAAATGGGATGCCAGGGGAGTAGCGCACAGCATTGACGGATGCCTGGGCTGCAAGGTCCTTTTCGGCAGAGAGAAGGGCCGAAGCGACTTTCTCGAAGGTGAGTTCCTTGGTGGGGAGCTGCTTGAGCATGGAACTGGTGACGTTGTAGGCCGGGGTGAGTCCGACGAGAAGCCCAGCAGCAGGTCCCTGTTCGGGGAAGGTGATCCCAATGTCCTTGAGCTCCTCATGGATGTTGCGGATTTCAGAGATGTAGTCTGCCATGCCCGGGCATTCCTCAAGGCAGATTTGGAACATGCGAGGAATGAGGATTGCAACTCCCACGGCAGTTTTGTCATGAAAGCGATCCTGGAGGTACTTCCAAATGTCATGCGCAGAGCGGAAGGTGCGGTAGGACTTGACTAACTCGACTGGGGTGGTGGTGATGAAAACCCTAATCACTGCCGCATCCGCCTGCTCCCAGAGACCGAAGTCCGTCTCATACTTGGTGGTTTTAGCGTCGAAAGCAAGCTTGGCTGTGGCAGTGGCGCCTTCGCTGAGAGGATCGGGAGGGAGAGGCATCTTCCCCTTGCCGCGATTGAGGAGGATGTCCTTGAGGCAAATCCCCTTGAGCTCCGAGCTAAGGAGGTGCTTCTCCACTCCATAGCACCACTCCCCGAAATTGGTGCTCGTGCCGTTGGGAGCGAGGTTAAGGATGATGCGGTTTCCGACGAGAGTGGAAGTTGAAGTTGCCATTTCGCGCGGAGCGCAGCGCTAAAGTCTCCGATACGTAGCGGAGCGGAGTTCGGGTGATTTTGGAAATTGAGGAAGTTCGAAACGCGATTTTGGCAATAGAATGCCCGTACTATACCCTGATATACTGCTTCGCCAATGCCCCCTGTTCTGCTTCGCTGCTGCCCCTGTTCCGCTTCTCTGCTGCGCCGCTGACCTGTTCTGCTGCGCCGCTGACCTGTTCTGCTGCGCCGCTGGACCTGTTCTGCTGCGCCGCTGAACCTGTTCTGCTGCGCCGCTGAACCTGTTCCGCTGCGCCGCTGAACCTGTTCCGCTGCGCCGCTGAACCTGTTCCGCTGCGCCGCTGAACCTGTTCCGCTGCGCCGCTGAAAACCTGTTCCGCTGCGCCGCTGGACCTGTTCCGCTGCGCCGCTGAAAACCTGTTCCGCTGCGCCGCTGGACCTGTTCCGCTGCGCCGCTGAAAACCTGTTCAAAGTTAAGAAGATGCGAAAATTGCCACGGAGATATAAAAACCAGAAGCTTACGATGAAGGAAGTCGAAAGCTGAGAATGTCGCCGTTGAAAAACGAGATGCGCGATGAAGGAAGCCGAATGCGCGCTTGACCGGAGCGACGATGTGAAGTTTCTGAAAAACGCTAAGCGTAGGAGCCGGGAACCGAAATAGGCATAGCCTAAAAGGAGAGAACCATCGGGACGCCAAGGATCGGATTCCGCGTGAGCGGAATTTTCTAGCCCTGATACCATGATAGAATTGGAACTGAACTGATTGCTTGATAAGGAAGGCACTAGGCCTTAAGTACAAACAGGGTTGGGTTGAGCAAAGCTAGGGAAAGGATGGGATGGGAATCCTAGCAAATCTCCAATTGGTGAGTTGGCAGATTTGCAGGATTACGAGAGAATCCCAACCAGATAGGGTTGGGATTACAAATCTACACCCAACCTACAAAGTAACCTAACCGATATAGAATATAGTACAAAGTGTTGACTGACTATTTCTAACAGCAGAGGCCGCTGCAAGCTGCAGCAGGGCAAGTGCGTCACACTGCAGGCATGCGCTCGTGTGACCCCGCCCCCCCTCGCATGCCTTCCTGGGCCAACCTTTGAGGCATCGCAAAAGCCCTCCTGCGCCATGCTACTACCACCTGCCCCTAACACCATCCCTTCGCTGGCTGTGGGTATGCTTGCTTGTGTGTTTACGCCTTACACGCATGTGTGCATGTGTGCATGCGTGTGTGCATGTGCATGTGTGTGCATGGGTGGTGAGCAGGAGGAGGCAGTGAGGGTGGGGCGGATTCAAGTGGATGGGCGCAATGTGGCACCGGACTATGTAGTCAGACAGTCTCAGACCATGACACACTACGTGCACAGGCATGGCATCGTGCCACTCCCTCTCAATCTACCACTTGCCACTCTCCTTCTCCGTTTTCCGGCCCATCGCCTTCCCCCTTTCATTTCCTCGCCTTCTCCTGCCATCAATGTCTCCTGCTGCTGCCAAGTCCGCACATGCCAAGCAACCCCCTGAGATAATAACAAGTTTCCACGTTTGTGCTATGCATGGGGGCATGGGGGCATGGCACAGGCACGAGCCATGGGTGGATGCAGCGCCAGTGGAGGTGCTGCAGGAGTCGGACACGGTGCTGGTCGTCTGCAAGCCCAGCTCCATGCCAGTCAGTGCCGTGCCAACCACCCTCTTCTCACATCACTACTTGTGTCGCTCACACTCAGGGGGCGCGGCCATGCCCTGTAGGGTACATCCGTTTTCATTGCCTTTAGATTATTATGTCTCTGGCACTTTGAAAAAAAATAACTTCATGTCCCAAATCCTCAGAAACATGTTTTCTACTGACTGGCATCAAAAGGCTGCAGGAACGGGTTTCGCTCTGATCATACATGCATGCGTGCTGTGCACATTTGCGCAAGACACGCATGCTGCATGTTATTTCTTCATCCTGTGCTTTGCGTTGCCCTGCTGGCCTGTATCCCATGTGTTGTGTGCATGGGTGGGGCCAGGTGCACCCGTGTGGGCAGTACCGCAAGAACACGGTGCTCAGTGTGCTGCAGGCCTTCCACGGCTATGGACAGCTCTTCCGTACGATGCCCCCCCGCTGCCCTCCCTGCTCCCTCCCTGCTGCCCTCCTGCTGCCCTCCTGCTGCCCTCCTGCTGCCATCATTGTAGCGCACACATGACATGTTCGTAACCGCTGAGTCGCTGACCCCCAGTGCATGTTGCCATCCCTGCATGGGTGCATGTTGCCATCCCTGCATGGGTGCATGTCACCATCCCTACATGGGTGCATGTCACCATCCCTGCATGGGTACATGTCACCATCCCTGCATGGATGCATGTCACCATCCGTGCATGGATGCATGTCACCATCCGTGCATGGATGCATGTCACCATCCCTGCATGCGTGCATGTGACCCTCCCTCCCTCCCTGCATGCATGTGTGGCAGCCATCCACCGCTTGGACCGCTCCGTGTCGGGTCTTCTCATTCTCGCCAAGTCTGCTGCTGCTGCTGAGACCTTCCGACTGCAGGCACGACCGCCCACACACACGCCCACACACACGCCCACACGCATTGGATCATGTGCACCATGCATGCACACGTGGCAGCAATGTCTCCCATGCCTGACGGCCTCGTCCAGCACACACAGGCATTGTGGTGAGAGGCCATGGTTGGCCCCCCTCCCCCCTGTGTGCGTGTGGTGCAGATGATGAGTGGGCAGATCCACAAGCAGTACATCGCCCGGGTCACCGGCACCTTCCCTCCCAACACCGTTCGTTCTCCCCTGCCCTGCTCACCCCTGCTGTCTTCTCCCCTCTGTCTGCCTGCTCCACTCACATGCCTGCGTTCCGATCCGACCGCCAATCCCGTGCTCTTCTCTTGCTTGCCTGCCCGCCTTGTGTCTGCCTATGCCTCCCCTGCTGCTCGCTAACCTGGTGGCCGGCTGTCCTAACTCTGTCTCCATCGCTGTGCTTGTTCGTGCTCCAACACCCTCCCACACATGCGTTTGTGTTCCGTATGCCGGCATGGGTGGGCAGGTGGAGGTGTGTGCGCCCGTGGTGTACGATGCGCGCATGGGTGTCAGCCGCACCGTCACCACACCTGCACCTCCATTCCAGCCAGACCAGCACCCCACAGCGCTGCAGGTGTGTGCGCCTGTGGCCCTCGCTTGCACTCCACTTACGGTTGCGCCATGTCGTTCTCTGCTTTCTCCTCTCCTTGTTTTTGCTCCTGCTTTCTCGCTGGTGCTTTTTGGCGTGTGGAGCATCCATATGTGCACAGCTCCCTTGCTTCTCATCCCCTTGCCTCTTCTGCAACTCCCATTCCCGTATGTTCCCCTCTTGGCATTAGCCTATTTGCGATAAGGAAAGTGTGGGGCACGAGGGAAAGATGGAGGAGAGGGATGGAGGGGAGCAGAAGGAGCAGGTTGGGAAATGTGATGGTGAGGAGAAAGAAGCTAGGCCTATAAAAGCACGTGATGTGAGGAGGGCAAAGGCGATGGCGAAGAGGCAGGCCAGGGTGCAGGCAAAGGGTGCAGGGGGGGGTGGTGGAGAGGGTGCGGAGGATGACAAGGAGAAGGCGGCAGTGACGGTGTTTGAGCGGCAGGCGGTGGCGGGCGATGGCACGTGCAGCATTGTGCGCTGCTCGCCCCGCACAGGCCGCACCCATCAGGTGGGTCTGGCGCTGCTGCTGTGCTGTTCTGGGAAGGGGAGGGTGTCCATGGGAGAGGGAAATGTTTCTCAGTTCTCAAGGCCTAAAGCACACAGGATTGTATGTTGCTAATAACCTTATCCCTTGCACGTTCCCCCCTCCCTGATTGGGCGTTCATGTCCCCGTGCATGGTGCATGTCAGATCCGAGTGCATCTGCAGCATGTGGGCCACCCCGTGGGCAACGATGACCTGTACCTGCCATCGCCACCCCATGCGCCCACTGCCCCGCAGCCTCTCCCTTCAACCCGGGCCACCTCCTCCTCTTCGCCATCTACTGCCTTGAGCTCTCTGCCAGACAAGCTTGTAACCACTCCTGGCTCACATGCTGCTGCTGCTCATTGCAAGGATGATGATAATCGCAGAAGCGGTGATGGTGCCTCAGATGCGGAGGTGAAAGGGAGCAGCAGAGGCACGCATAGAACGGACGGCAGGGATGTGCTGCAGGAAGCAGGTGGCGACGAGGGCCGTGTGAGCGAGAGAGAGGGAAGACCATTGGGGGTGCATGGTGGTAGTAAAGCGGGCAACTGCAGTGCATCTGATGACTTGGGTGCTGTGAGGATGTGTGGGGAAGGGGAGAGAGCATGCAAGGCAGCGCGAGTGCAGCAGAATGAGTGCGATGGAGCTGCACCATCCCCTGGACGCCTGAACACGCACTTGGGGGGAGAGGAAGGGGGCGAGGCAAAGGAGCAGGAGAGAGGGAGTAGTTTAGGCGCACAAGGTGCACCTTCCTGTGGAGATGAGGATGGCGCAGCAGGTGCCACTGGGGGGTCATGCACCGTGAGGGGCGTCATTAAGGAGGAGGGCATTGGGGCGAATGCAATCGAGTCGGTGTTGAATGAGGGGGTTACAGAGGGAGGAGTGAAGGAAGCGGAGGACAAAGGAGGGGCAGTGGAGGCAGCGGTGGAGGAGCAGGCAGAGGGCAATGCGGCAGCAGCCCCACATCCATCACCTGCCGCACTGCCTTCTATGCCTCAGCATCTCACCGACCCTCTCTGTCCACACTGCCCCCTCATCCCTGCAGAGTCAGTGCCCACTGCCCACCCGTACATGTTGCCCTTCATTTCCTGCAAATGACCCAATCGTTGCCGTGTTGTCTGCCACATATGCACATCCCAAATTCTTGCCGCCTGTGCTGTCACAAACATTCTCCCCACTTTTCTCAGGGGCGTGCAAGTGGAGCAGCACCTGTGGCTGCACTGCTGCCGCTACTCGGGTCCTGACTGGTGCTTCGAATGCCCCATGCCACCTTGGGCTCACCTCTGATGTAATGCCACCACGCCGCCGTACCACATTGCCCAGATATGCCACTTGCCCAGGGTTGAACCCGTCAAGTACCCAATTTTTCTGGTGTGAGCAATTAAGGGGGAAAGGAGAGGCGGATAAAAGGGGCGGAGATGGTGGGAGGGGGAGAAAATGGGGGGGATGGGAGGGGAGGGATGGATGGAGGAAGCTGGGTGGGAGGATGAGGGTGAGGGAGGGGAGGGGGGTGAGGACAAAGAAAGCAGTCATTTTATATTATACCATAAGTACCTATTCAATGAATCACAACACACAACCATACACAGGTGCTGTCCCATTGCCGGGTCACTTCTACAGGTATGCTACAAGAATAGTGCAATCCAGGAATATCCAGGTGCAAGCATATACACTGCTCTAGCTTAACAAAAAGAATTAACAGCACTAGAACATTATAGTGACGGACTAACCACTGAAATGCAAAAATTGAAATCAATTATTTCCAACAGCAGCAGGGGTACATCCAGGGGATTGTTCTAGAAGTCACTTTTCATGAAGCAGACAATATACCATAAGCATTCGGTATGTGGATCACTCTGTTACATTGTACCACCGTCAGTTGCAGAGAGCACAGATGTTTGGCGCGCTAGGATTTGGTTGCCTTCTGAATGCTTGGTCGACGCCCAATTATCATCTGACAGGCAACATAGGTCTGAAGCTAAGTCCGACACGTGGTGCGCGGTTGAGTTCAATTATCGTCCGACAGGTGCCGAGCCTGGATCGGCCCATGGTGTTGCATCAAACACGGATGGACGGACGGCTCGAGATTCAAGTTTTGCATAAAGGAAACCTCCTTCTCCCGCCTTTCTGTCCAATGTGGTTACCATTCCGCTGTCATCTTCGGGCAGAGGAATCCTGAATCCACGCGAACCATCAGCTCTTACTTGCCCCTCCGCTAGCAACTGAGATCTCACCCACCCCCCATCAAATTCACTTGGTCTCCCTTGCTAGGGCATTCCAGCGGCATCAGCCATCTGATCTCACAGACGCAGCAAACCTCGAGTCTGCGTCGCCTTTCCTGCGACCTGATATGGTCGTTGACAGTGCTCGGCTCGCCGAGACGTCCTTTGGGATCGCTGGTCTTGCACCTTAGAAGCTGCTTGCCGCTTTGCTTTAGTCCGATTCTCTCGCAGCAGTCGTACATCAGGGTTCCGCCATGGTTCGCCGGGTGGATTGTCTGGCCCGATCGGGTTTCCGGGAGCAGATGATTGACGCGCTTGTGTTCTCCCTCGCAGTCTACGAATCCTCGCCCGAGAAGGTCCTGTCGGTCCTTAAATCGAAGTACGATCTCCCCGTGGGTGCTCTGGATTTGCTGCACCTACCTGATTTTCCGGGTGGCAGCCAGGCGCAGCAACCTATACTGGTGGGTCGCAGCACGCACGGGCACGTCGTGGTGGCGTGCAGAGGAACAGCGGACGGCTGGGATGTCCTGCAAGACCTTAAGATTTTCCCCCGAGGCATTCGTGGGGTCGGTTGTGGCACGGCGCACATGGGATTCGTGGAGCGGGCTGAGAGTGTCTGCGTGGAGCCGTTGCTTCGACTGCTTGCCGACGGGCATCGCCTCGTCTTCACGGGTCACTCTTTGGGCGGCGCCGTCTCCGCGTTGCTGGCTCTGCGCCTGCTGGAAGCAGCGGAGTCGCGCGGTCTCTGCACGCACAAAGGCCAGGTGCAGTGCGTCACGTTCGGCGCGCCGCTGTTCGCGAGCCCCAGCTTGGCGGAGCTGATCAACGACAAGTACCGAGACGTGTACAGCCACGTCGTCTCCAAGAACGACGTCGTGCCCCGACTCGTTCCGCTCGTCGCGCTCCTTCAACGCGTTGCGGGTGGTGGGGGCGCCACCGAGCCCATGGAGGCGTTACGCCTCGCCCGGTTCGCGCTCGGTCTGCTCCAGCGCGCCACCAAGATCCCCTTCGCGTCCGCCTTGCAGGCCGCAGAGTCGTTGCTGCCGGGGCCCCTCAGGCTTGTGCTGTCAGGGGCGTGTCAATTGCTGTGGCCGGCGCGCACGCCGCAGCAGTATGCGTTCGCGGGCAACTTCCTGCTGCTGGACCCCATGGCGGAGGCCACGGAGGGCGCCGTGCACCTGGCGCAGGCGGAGGACCTGAGCAGCTGCGTGCGCGAGGCGAGCTTTGCGCTGGAGATCCATTTCGACGTCTTCAACCACCACCTGCTCTCCACCTACCAAACCGGCGTCACCAAAGGAATTCGATCGCGAATGCTCGCGCACCTCGCGGCGGGCAACGCGGCGGTTCCTTTACCGTCCGCTCCGGCTGCTTGCCAGGGAACGGTGGCGTCGGCAGCGTCATCATCAGCCACGGTGGGGCAGGCCGTGCTGTCGAGTCTGGAGGGGTTCGAGCAGTTCAAGAGCAAGGGATTGAATCGGCTTCGGCGGACCCGATCGGATCTGGTGTCACTTGAGGGGCGCGTCGCTCCGTTCCTGCCCATCATGGAGTGCCACCGTGCCGCCGACGCTGCTGCCAACTCATCGTCCGTCGCCCGGGAAGCAGACACGGCTGGCACTAGTCACCGCGCCACGCCGCCTTTGCAGCTGTGTGCGCGCAGCATGAGCTTCTCGCGCGCTGCCGGACTTTCAAGATGCGCGGATGCGCGTTCCAGCGTGAATGGGAAAGACGGCGTGGACGAAAAAGAAGTGGCGGCAGCTGCGCGCTGGTGCTCGGTGTGCAGAGCAGCGACTTCCGGTGAAGCCGCGGGCAGCAAGGCCGTGGTAGCCGCCACACCATCACAGCCGGGCGCAAAGAAGCGGCGATGGCGGTTTGGGTGGTTCCTGTCGACGGTGTTCCGCGTGTCGCAGCGGCTGCGGTCGCTGTCCACCTTGTCGCTCCTCCTCGGCGCCGCCAGGGTCGCCCTCGGCTGCCCGCTTTTCTGACCGCTCCACTGGGCCGCTCAGCTGAACCCGCCGCTGCGCCGTGGCACACCTGCTGCGTGCCATGCGTTGATGCCATGAGCCACGAACAACCACCGACCATCATCAGCCACCAACCAACCACCAATCGAGACACGTTTCCCAGGGTCGAGAAGCGGTTTGCCGGACGGCATATTATCTGTGTCCATATCAGTCGTCGTATTAAGCCATGCCTTGCCTGACCCACGCCATCACATGCGCTGCCCCGTATCATCACATGCGCTGCCCCGTATCATCACTACGGTCCCAACACCATCACATCCTCTGCTCCATACCATCACGTGCTCTGCCCCCTACCATCACATGCTTTGCCCCATACCATCACATGCTCTGCTCCATACCATCACATGCTCTG